AAATTGTAATTAAGACCAGAACAAGATTGTTAAGTCTAGCAGGCCAAGAATTTGCAGCTATCTATTTACCACTGAAAAAATATTATCTTGATTGGGCAGTGCAAAATTCTGATGATTTGCAGTATGCATTGTTAAACTTCCCAGGTATTTCTTCTGTTCATTACCTGGCACACAAATTATTGCAGGTAAAATTGAGTTTTAAAGAGAAACCTATGTTAAGTGAAGAACCTTTAAATGCAATAATCTTTCTTCACTGATGGATCTGGCAAAAGTCACAAATCAGTCGTAACTTGGTTGAACCAAACAAATAAAACTTGGGAATCAGATATTCAAACAGTAGAAAGATTGTTGAACTTGTCACTGTGGTTAGGGCTTTTCAGCTATTTTTACTACTGTTTAATAGAATCACAGATTCTGCTTATGTTGCTAATGTGGTTAAAAGAATAGAAGGATCAGTTTTAAAAGATGTTAGTAATGGCACTTTATATCATTGCCTTTCATGTCTTTATACAACTCTGCAATATAGAACTGACCCATATTTTGTTTCTCACATCAGGGCTCATTCTTTGCTTCCTGATTTTTAGCAGAAGGAAATGCGAGACCAGACAAACTGACAGTGGTTATTTCAAACATTTTGCCAAACATTTTTGACCAAGCAAAACTCAGTCATGCCTTTTTTCACCAAAATGCACATGCTCTTGTGGAATGTTTCAAATTTCCAAAAGTCAAGCTAAAGCTATTATCAGTACTTGCCCTGACTGTCAGTTTGTGCAGCCTTCTGTTTCTACAGGAGCGGTCAACCCGCAAAGTTTGCAAAGCCTGCAGTTATGGCAAACGGATATCACTAAATACCCTTCCTTTGGTAAATTTAAAAATATTAATGTTTCAGTGGACACATTCCCTGGTGCAGTTTTTGCTTCTCTTCACACAGGTGAAACAGGTCATGCCTGTCACCATTTTTTTCAAGCTTTTGCTTCATTGGGTGTACCCAAGAAGTAAAAACCGACAATGGTACTGCATAAATATCTCAAAAATTGGCCATGTTTTTAAAGGATTGGGGTGTTCGTCAAATCTTTGGTACTCCTCATTCTCCCACAAGTCAAGTAATTATTGAGAGGGCACATCAGACATTAAAATGCATTCTTGATCAAGAGAAGGGGGGAGTAGAGGTCACACCACAGATGAGGTTGGACAAACTTTATATGTTTTAAATTTTTTAAACAGCTTTGTTCCAGAACCCAATCCACCAATTTTTAGGCATTTTTCAAATAACACACAGGTGAAACTGAAAGAAAATCCCCTCATTTTAATTAGAAACTCTGAGACAGGACAAATTGAAGGTCCTTTCCAATTAATCACTTGGGGCAAAGGGTATGCTTCTGTCTCTATAGGTGCAAGAATTAAGTGGGTCCCAGTGAAAAACGTCAAGCTGTACTGCACCCCAGAACGTGTGGACGAGTTCAAGACTGTAGAAGCAAGTACACAGACATGAGCCAAACAGAGAGATCTTGGGTCATGCCTGATGTTCCTTGAACATTGGTGGAACCTGCAAACTCTGATTTTATGCTATTTATAAATGTGCCAATTGTTGGTTTCATAGAGCTAATTTTTGGCAAATGTGTGGGTTTTGTTTTGTTATGTTGTAGATTCCCTCTTTTGGCTTTTCAAAGGTGAAATTTTATTTCAAGGTCAAAAGCAAAGTTTTTAAATTGATATATATGGAAGGATTTTTTGTCAAAAATTAGTTCATGAAAAGGATAGAGTGAAATCAAGTGATACGCTGGTGTTGGTTGGTTTTAATTGTTTCTTGTAGTGCAGATCTACGTGTAGAACAACCACAAACAAATGTTTGGGTGACCTTAGCCAAGGCAGCATGCTCAGATACCATATGTTTGCCTAACTCAGAACCAGAAGAGCCTTTCTCAACCTGTCTGGTCAGTGTGCCAGTAAAGGATTTGCCCTTGGTCAAAAAGCAATGCAATAGTAAGCCTAGCGAAACTGACAATGGGAGCAATCCTGTATTGAATTGGAACATTTGGACCAAAGAACTTCCCAAAACAGTATCTGAACCTCAAGAATTAGAAATCCTTGGTTCTTTAACAATGGATTTCTGCCTTACATTTACAGCTAATGATTAGCGAGAAGGTGATCCTCCAAAGTACAATGTCACTCCCCATTATTTTGCATAGAGAAATTCAAGTTTTTGGTGTAATTATTCAAACAGTTGGGATGTGCTTTCCAAGGCTGACCAATATCCATGACAATTACCAAAAATATATTGGTTCATTTGTGGAGATAGGGCTTGGCAGAGCATTCCATCACGCCTTGAAGGTGGTCCATGTAACATTGGTATGCTCACTGTGATAGCACCTACTGCTAAAGTAGTCATTAAGAAGAAACATAGGGGAACAAGATCGACTCATCACTATGATGAGAATTGTAAGAGTGATTTCATGCCTTGGAATGCTGCAAAAAGTGTTTCAGCAGGTTTGTTTTTATCCCAACTGGCTTCAGCAATGGTATTGAAACAATTAAATTGGGTTGGATGTTGGCTGAGTAAACAAATGAATACCACATCCACTGCAATCATTGGTATGCTGACAGATGTTAACTGTGTTAGGCATGCTACACTTCAAAACGGAAGAGCAATTGATTTTCTTTTACTGGTACATGGACATGGTTGGAGGAATTTGAAGGATTGTGTTGTATGAACCTGTCTGATCATTCTGAATCCACCCACAAAAGCATAAAAAAGCTGATAGATTTAACAGCTCAAATTAAAGAAGATGGTGGGTCATGGTTAGATGATTTGTTCAAAGAATGGAGCTTTGCACCTTGGCTGACGGAACTTTGTAAAATAGGTCTATATGTGTTGGGTGTTTTAGTGGTGATACTAGTAGTGATATCTTGCATACTTTGGTGTGTGTGAATGATGGACAAAACTAACAAAGAAGTTTTTAAAATACAAGAGAAAGGGGTAGGAAATGGATTTGCAGAGAGTTCTCAAAATCTTACAGAGATAGTGGATGAAGGTACAGACATGGAGGAAAGTTTTAAATTAAGACCTTGGAACCGGCGAGACTTTTATGAACAATAACTTGTCGTTATCACACATGACTTATGCCCTTTGAACTGACTAGACTTTCACAGCATTAAAATTGCTGTGTTGTAATATAGCAATGCTTGATGTGAGCAAAAAAAAAAGCTTTAAGTAAGTAATAAGCAGATATATTATGGTAAAGATACGTAGTTAATAAACAACACGGTTATGAAGGTTTCTTTTTAGTTGAACCGAGAGGAGGAATTGTGGGAATCCTCAGAATCAGACAGTTTTGGGAAAGCTGCAAAAGACAGGCCTCAGAGACAGCAAAATTGCAATTAGAGCTAAGCAGTAGCTGTAAGATTTGTCAGCAGAAAAATTATATAAGAAGTAGAAAAGTAAGGACAAATAGAACAATGGTCTGTCTATTAGTGCTTGTCTAGAATAACTCTCTAAGCTGCAGAAAAGTACATCTAGCAAGATATTAGGAAGTTCTAAGCTTAGTAATGAAGCTCTGTGCATTGTGTTTTAAGGCTTTCAAGCAGATACTGTATTTGAAATAAGCAAGCATTGTTTTAACCAAAGGTATGTGTGCTTATAGTGGTTGGATAGAACTACTGCCAATATGCTTTTGCTTTGTGTGATTGATTAAAAAACTTTTAAAGTAAGTTGTAACATTAAGTTCTTTGTCTGCTGTCTGGGATGTGAGCTGCTGGCATCTTCCCATTGTCATAACCATGTAATGAGACTGATGCTGGAAAATACAACAGCCTGAGACGCGTTCCTTAGCAGTCCCGTTCTGTTTGTGATTTGTACATAGACCCCTGGCTGGCAATACTACTAACCAATTGGAGTCACACACAAGGTCTGTAACACTGTATAAAAAGGAGTAATGTGAATAAAGAAATGGCTTTTCCATCATGAAGAAAATGGAGTCTGCATGATTTATTCCTGTAGGATTACACTGGTCTTCTTGGCCACAAGGGCATACCACTGGTCCAATACAGAACCCTAGGGGACACCACTAGTTACAGGCGTCCAACTAGACTCTGCCACTGATCATGACCCTCTGGGATTTGCCAGTCAGACACTTCTCAATCCACCTCACTGTCCACAGTTCTTGATTTTTCCTATGAGGATGCTGTGAGAGTGTCAAAAGCCTTTCATGGACCCCCTGCTGCTTCTTGTATTAGTTTGATTAGAATCCAGCTTTAACTGATGATTATCCTTCTAGACTTATGAAATAAGTTGTCTCAACATCAACTTCACCACCTTTTAAACAATACCCCAATGACACTGTTCGATCATCATAAGCAAACATGGGCCTCAGTAGGAAAGAGAACCAGACATCAGCAAGAAAACAATTGTGAAACAACTTCTCCTAATGGAGAAATTGATCAAAATATGGAGATTCTCTTCATACTTGTGTCCATCACATTTATTCCCTTCATAATATGCCTTAAATTTGTCAGGCAACTACATGGTTGAAAATAGACATGACTCCTGATGTGCTACTCAAATTTTAAAACAAAAAATAGTCTATTGAAAATTATGAGTCTGATGGTGCACTGCAGTCTTCTTACAAACTCCCCTTGTCATGTAATTGTCAAATCTTAAAATTTGTTCCTCAAAAACCTATTACTTCTCTCAAAGTAATATCCCCTTATCCACATCCATCAGCTCTGCAAATACTAATTATGATTTTCTTTATCAAGAACATTTCATTAGGCTGGTTCAACTTCATCTTAGATTCTGCTTCTTGAAGGCATTCAGTCTAATAACCTGACCAGTTTTTGCAGCCATCTCAGTTTAACAGACACACTTTCCCTCCAGTTTTAAATTAAGTGAAAGAAATATATACCACACAGATATTTCACACAAGAGCCTATTAATAAGTCCTATTAATATAACATATGATCACATATACCCTATGTAATACTAGAAGCTGAATATTACTTACTTATCTCTTAATATTACACCTTCTATACAGGCGCCAAACAACACTATACAGGAGAGATCTGTTACTGAGACTGAAGGAAGATTACTCTCTAAAAAATCACATAGAAGAAATCCCATCTTTTTTCACCAAGGTATGAAATTAAAATATCCATGACAATGCAGCTTGTGTATGTGTTTGCTGGTTGCTTTTTTATTTGGTTTTTTTAGTTCTTCCCTGCCACGATTTTTTAGTTTATGTTCTTTATGAGTGTATGTCACAGTGATTTGTGAAGTAGTGGAAGTAGCCAGCTCATATAGCATGCAATAAAATAGGCATTTTTTTATACAAATAAGCAAGCACTTGTGTACTGTAGGTTTTGAAGAACCGACAACTACTATTACTGGTGGTTTTGGTTTAAGATCTGGTTATACTGAGTATGACAGCAATCTGCCAACAGAAGCCTAATGCTAAAAACCTTCAGATCACTTGACTAGAATCATCAATTACATATTGGAATTTGAAGCACTAGTAGAATATATATATTTGTTCATAAAATTTGACATATTTTCATAATATTTATAAATAATACTGGTAGTTTAGACAAATATAGAAGATTTCTTTTCAGTTTAGATTTCATTCATTTCCTACTCAGGAAACTAATGATTTTCTAGTGAAAAACCTGGTATACCTACAGAATCTACAGAATGTAGACTAAGAAAAAAGTCACAGTGTAAAGGATACAAATAAAAGATGTAGTTGAAATAGCCAAAATTGTTCCAGTAGGAATAGATTTCTGAGCATCCTTTAGATCTCCAGATCTATTTGAACCTGCCATAATACCTTAAAAAAAGACAAAATTTATGTCATAAAACCAATTAATAATAACTAAGAAAATAAGAACATCTAATTTTAAGCCAAATTGAACTCGAAGATTACCAATGGAGTAGGCTACAGAAACATATTATAATCCTGCACAAATCCTCAATTTATAACTTCATTTTATTCAGAAATCTGTGTTATTACCCACTTGAGTAAGCAAATCCTATAAAGGTCAGTAAAAAGACAGATTAAAAAAATATTTTTCAAGTATTACGTCAGAATCATTCTTGAAGTGAAGAAATACAAGGAGTAGCAATTTTGCTACTTGGAAGGGATGTTACAAATTAATAGGGACTCGGCAATTTTAGCCAGTATGACCTAACACACTACCTTTCTATTAAACAGACCATCATAATAACAAGCAAATGTAAACAAGCAAATCAATAAACTAACAAATAAAACCTTAGAAGCAAAAAAGAAAGGAGCAGGCAAGAAAAAGAATGGTTAGAAAAATCACATGTACGCATGCCTGTAAATCTAAAAAGAGAACGGAATTATTTTGTAGCACATACAGTGACAGGGGGGAAAGAAACCTATACAATAACTAATTCTGCCATCTCTCCTAGAATTGACCTGACCACTGAAAGCAAAAATATGGAAGCTAATATCAAGATGTTCCAGTGCAAAAACATTGTCAAACTCCATGAAATAAAACAGTAACCATGGGTTCAGATATGATGAAATGTTGGTAAGAGTCTGAAGTAAAGAAATGGGAGCAGTGGGGTTCAAACAGTGAATAAAAAGATGATTCCACTTCATAATAAACTACCAAACAGTGCTGCAACTTCTTATTGGAGTTCTATTCTGTTACTTAACATTACAATTACTTCAGCTGGGACTTTTGAAGAAAAACATGTCTGTTGTTTCATTCAAGCATGAGCTGAGGAAAATGAAATACAACTAGTCTAGGCTTGACAAAAAAAGTCTACACAGGTAATGTGGCAAAATATTGGACATGTGAACAAATCCCAAGCAGTTAACCAGGCAGCTTGGACACTGGAAGAATCATTTTAATATTAAACTGTTCTCTCAAGTCTTTGAAGATTAAAGTGTTATAAACGCACCTTATTTGGAATAAACATTTAGTAACACATGAGGGTTTTGCTTTCTTTATAGAAATGGCCCTTAAACAGATTTCTTGTTTAAGTCCTTAGCCTTAGCCAGATTTCTTGTTTAAGTCATTAGCCACAACCAATGTCTCCCTAGCACCAGAAGGTACATAACCTCAGACACAGAAACTTGCAACAGCATGAGTCACCCATAAGATTATGAAAATGAAAAAATTTACATGAATTTTTTTTCCCAGATACAAGTACACATCCTCATGCAAGAAAAATAGTTGTGTCTACCTGTCACAGATGGGAAATAAATCCCTACAAGCATTGTGAAGTAGGTCATGATGTCTGTAAAAACATAAGGAAGTCCACCCATTTTTGATTCTTCTGATCCAGCAAGTGATGGCTGATCTTTTTTCTCAACTATTGATCCTTTTTCTGAATAGGCACTCCAGAGATTATCTACAAGGTGGGAGAAAAAACAAAATCAGTGTCACCTCTCTGTTTCAGGATATCAATTAGTGAGAATGCAATAATCCTAGGAATCAGATGCCTTTTTCTTACACAAAAATCATGACATTTCCCATTATGATTGATACCAGTTGTAACAGGTATTATGTAACTCCAGTCCATGCTAGTAAAAATGGCGTAGTGTGAGATGTGTACTGCAAAATTTTCCCTTCCTCTAAAGCAAAATATAATTATAGAATTAAATTCTAATGTATTTGTAGAATGTACACTTACATTGCACAGGCACACAGATGTTCTATTGGGAAAAATAAGGAAACTTATCTCCAGGTTCAAGGAATCTTAGTATATACTAATCCTTCTTGTTCTTGTATTTTGAGGAGCAGTATGAAAAAGAAATGCTACTTAACAGTAATTTGAGTTCTTTGACACCTCCTGTACAGAAGAATCCTGCATAACAGTTCAGGATTCAGCTGTTAATGGCAAAAGATTTCCATATGATGACAAAAGCAGCATAAGCAAACTCTAGAAGATCACTGGTAAGCAAAGAAACCCCAGCAGAATATGGTTCAAATTCCCCAGCAAACTAAGCACATTTGTTTGAAGAGTGACAGGTCAAAGAGTAAATTTTGAGAGCTTACATTTGTGGAAAACACTGGTTGTGTACTTTGATAAGACTGTGAGAACAGACCACACTGATTCTTATTTGAAAATGAGACAAGTTGTCCTATTATTTGTGAGAAAACAAAGTAGATACTCTTCTGACCAGTCAAGAAGGCAAAGGATTTTGCAGCAAGGCAATACACAATTTCCATGGACTGCCAGGATGATCGAATAGCCAATTTTCAGACATCCTGAACAACTCTAGGGAATTCCAGTAGAGTATTCTAAGCCTTTATAGTAGCAAAAAGTAACCTTGAGCACAATAGAAGATGGACTTTGAACCATAAGTGGCCAAAGAGAGGGCACTCATACCCAGCTTTTTAAAAAAATCTTACAATCAGTAAGCATATATGGAAGTATGCATGAGAAGCAGAAGAGAAAGCACAGCAAAGATTAAAAATAAGTATTATGTGCTAAGGAATGCTATGTGTATTACTACAATCAAATGAAGAGGAGTTACAGACTGATCTAGAGATCAGACTGAAGCCATAAGAAGTTAATGAAACAAGAGAATTTTAAATTTCAGGAATTTTAGCAGAGATGAGTGATGTAAAATAAGACTAGATCTCCAAATTAGCATCTATCTACCCCCTGTGAAACATAAGAAGAAAATCAAAACATCAGTTTGAATTGCCAATCAAAAGCACTTAAATTCTTAATAAGCACTCAACAGCTTGTGTCCTTTATTCAGCATGACACAGGACTGACAATGACCTGAGCACTGCAATGCATACAACTAAACTGTGGAACTGTGCATGCCAGCACATGGGTAAAATCAGCTTAGATATTCTGTTGAATAGAAATCACTTTCCCTTTTCATAACATGCCACACAGAGCTTTCCTATGCTCATTTTCCCAAAAGTGATAATCCAAGTGGACTTGAAAGTTAGGGTGAGAAAAAATAATAACTTTTCAGAAAAGTCCAGACATTTGGCCCTTCTAGGACCATTCCTTGATTGCTAAGGCTCCTCTAGCAGCTGACATTTAGGGTACATACACAAGAACAGGTACAGTGTATCAGACCAACATGCTACCACCATCAGAACAATGTTGATAAGGCTAGTAGACAAACTGCATAATTTCTGTTAGGGTTATAGGCCTATTTAGTCAGCCACTTTCAGAATGATTTATTATTGTCAGGACAACACTCACAGAAGGTATATAAGGGATGAATACTTATTCTATATGAGTGCCCAATAAATGGTGTGAGGACTTAGCACACTTCCTGAGACAGTCATGGCATCTGAATATTCCCAGTCACAGCTCAAGAAACTTTAATGTCCAGAGCCTGCAGCTTCAAAGTCTTCACACAAGGCAGAAAATTCATCAAGTGAAAGAAAATTCTCCTTGAGAAATCTCTGCCACGAGAGCTCAAGCTTATGCTAGATATCAGAATGTGTGCTCACACTCAGCAAGTAAGACACCTTCTTTTAGCATTAGGTGTAACTAGGATAGTGAAATGCATTGTTATGGAATAGCTCTTGTTCAGAGAAATGCTAATCAGTGAACAGAAGCAGAGCACATATTTTCAAAAGCAGGAAAAGCAGTACTCAGCCTGAAATCTCCAAGAACACTGAAATACCTGAGGTTGACATGAAATAGTATTGATACCCAAGGACAAATGGAAGGCCGTTTCTTTAATTTAAAAGTGTTTCAGGGAGACACAGAAACTAAGGACTCATGAGCAGCATCTCTACAGGAACAGTCAATAGCAACAATAGCAGTTGATAGAGGCAATAAACAGGGAAGTTATTTTTTATTTCTGACAAAACTTAGTAGTTATTCACAGTTTTTCTTTAGTTTTGAAAAACTGGGGAAACCTCAACTCAGCTTTTGCAAAAGAAAATTGTCAGAAGTATTCAAATTCCTTGAGGTAAACATAAATGAAGGCAATCCACTTGAATCAGTCCATCTATATTGCCCATGTTATTAAAATATTTCTCACCCAAGGAATCTACACGAGACATTGGATAAGAGGAAATCTCCTCACATGGATTAAAAAAACAGTTCAAAGACAGAAAACAACAGGTAAAAGTAAATGGAAGTACAGCTTTGTAATGAAGAACAGCCACCAGGAAACTTCTATAAGAATGACCATCAGGATGTAACCAGTGCTATCCAGTACACTCAAACAGCCCAAAAATAGGAGCTAGTACCAAGATGAGAGCCTGCTGGCAATTCTCAGTTAATTCAAAGTTGTAGAAGGAAAAACAGCTGCAAGGAACTTAAAAGAAAACAAAACTAAACAAAAATGTATCAGATTCCATGAGTAAACATAATGGAATTGATGAAATTCACTACAGGTAAGTAAAGAACAGTGAATAGTGGAAAGCGTGTCGCTGACAATGAGCTTTCAGCAGACTCCTGGTCCTTAGAGATCTTAACATTATGTGAGAATAAATTAGCAAAATATACTTTTATACAGGATTACTTGTTGAATGAAACACTAAACAGTGAATGGAACAAAGGAAAAAAATAGTACTCAGCTGGAAACCTCCAAAAAGCAAAAGAACAATTTAAATCTTACAGGGTAGCAAAAAATTGTAACATACAGCTAACTTGTGAGCTGGGGCAGGAAGTACAAAATTATTAATGAAAAATTGTAGATATGCATATGATAAATCATTAAATTCAGAGAATAAACTCTAAGTTACATTTCTTGCAACAAGCAAACAATTTCATTTTTTATTGAGTAAATTATTTTTTAACAGCCACAAATTTTGATTCAGAGAAGTATCTTTTAATGTATTTGTACACTTTATATGTGATATTTTCAACTGGAGTACTGTTGCAGCAGTGACTGTCTAATGTGCCTATGTAGCATATTTATATGAATCAAACTTTATTTTAAGGAAAGGCAAAGCAGAGGTATCAGAGTATCCATTTCATTCCCAGAGACATTATTTGTGTGTGTACAATACAAATTATTACACATTTAAGATGAATCCTATGACTTGATGCAATCTGAATTCCAAGCTGCCACACAATACAGATCTGTAAAGAGAATAAAATCTATACATTGTAGACTGCTCTTCCCTAATTCAATCACTAACTTGTACACATTGGACAATCCACAGAACTTCACTCTCATTGCACCACCTGTGAAGTGGAAACAAGTTCCTTCTCAGTAGAGTTTGAAAATATATTAATGAACGGCTTATTGAAATGTGTGTTTGGCATACACATTTTAAAAAAAAAGCTGTGATGAGCACTTTATCACCTTTTTGATTGAACAATGGCTTTTGAAAGAGTACCTATAAAACTCCAATTACCCCCAAATTAAAGCACTTGATACTAAGATTCTAAAACCAGGTTCTTTTATAGGAAGAAGCATGCTCAAGGTAGTAATCTTTCACACAGACTAGGGGTAAAGAAACAGTAACAGACTAGACCTCTATATTACTGACCAGCCATTGGCCAAATTAATAATGTCTAAAAACTTTTAAGTCACTGTGCCTTCCAACTTACCAGTTAGAACTCCACTCATTATTCCTGGAATTCCTTGAATTTCTGTTACATTATTGAGACTAAAGTATTCATCACATGTAGCATTAAGCAAAGAACTATCACAGAACAGGAGCCACAAAGGGGTAGTCTTTGTTTCATTATTGCTTTCAGTAAATTTGGCACAGACATCAAAGCTGCGTTTTGACAATGTACGGTTTCCAAGGAGACAGATACTATAAAAAAGAAAAATAAAGTCAGTGTTCCTTCAATACAAGGCTGTGAATGATGCCATTTTTTGTCCATTAGACTTCTTCAGAAACCTGTTATTTACACTATCTACCTTAAGGCCTATACTACATCTACTAAAACAGTATATAGTTTCTACATCTAAAACTATCATCAATAGTCTTTAAAATATGGATCAAATATTTCTTCTTTATAGTAAAGCATAATCAATTTAAGCAGCTTGACTACTACATAACAGCAATTATGATGCATTCAGCCCTACAAGAAAGAAGTAAAATTAAGAAATACTTTATAAACTTAATTAAAAGATGAGTCTGATGAAGAAAATATAAAAGTGAGTTTAAACAAGTAAACCATTCTCTTCCTTTTCAAGCAACTGAAAACTTTAGATGATCCCCAAAACAATTACAATCCAAAAGGTAGGAAATAAGCCAGGAAGATTAAACAGCCAAATATGACAACAGTGATGGGAGTACAAATTGAAGAATCATGTATTGGGAAGCAACTTTTTTTTCAGGAATGAAAGAGAAAAGTCTGAACAGCTGTCAAAAGCAAATTCCTACCAGCAGAGTACATTAAGGACCTAGGTATATTTCTTTGTTAAACTATACAAAAGATGTTTAAGATTCCAGGCTTGCTTAAAAATTGAATGATATAGATCTTTGAAGACAAAAGAAGGAACATCAAATATAAAATGAGGGTTAGGCAGATACACCAGCACAGCTTCAAGGTATTGAATCTCATGGAATTTGAGCAGATTTAACAGAAAACTGTTGCTAAAGAGATCATCTTGTCACTTGCCTTGCTTAGTTTTCTTTTTAATTGCTACTGATTTGATGACTCAATAGCAGCAGGGTCAAATAATACAAGCAGTGGAAACTTCTTTCAGTTTGATTCAACTGGGAAATCTTGAGGTAAACTATTTTACCACCTACACAATGGACAAACTTAATAGAAATTAGTGATATCAACCTAACTAACCAGCTAAGTGGAAGTTGTTTTGTTTGGGTTTTTTTAACGACCATCATCAGATCAGTCTTACCATTACACAAGACCCTACTTGAGTTTCTCATTTTGAGGCAGACTCTAAATGTAAACCATTATATTTAGTGGAAAATAAACTCTTTATATTTTCCCCCAATACAATAATATTACAGTAGCAGCCACATATAAAACCTCCAGGAACTTGGTAATGAGTCTCACCTATGCTACATATCCACACAAACTCTCTTTTACTTATACAGGTCACAAAAAGATATTACTATTGCCCCGCTGGAAGTTAGTGTAAGAAACATAAGTTTTATTCAGAAATAGGTCAAACTTTTACATATTACATGGAAAACAATGCTACAGAACAATCCACAAATACTGCTCTAATGGTCAATTAGAGCAGTAATTACCAACACTTCAAAGTAATATTGAATTTGTAACAATCATACAGCAAAGGATAACTCTTACTATGAAGTGCCACACAAGACTGAAGTTATCAGCCTATTCTGATCATGTCTTAAGCAATTTAACTTTGTTTCGTCTTTCAACAGAAAAATATGTACAAAAATGCAACTCATTTAACTGGGTAAAGTAAATTGCAGCTAATAACTGGACTGAAGAAGTAACTCCTATTGAGCTAAGAATTAAGCACATCAAGGACCTTGAGAAGCAATGTGTCATGCATAACAATAACATTTTATTTTATTAATGGGAAAGCCTTCACAAACACAAGTGAATTTAAACACTTCAATGTGTCATTTTTAAGTAGGGAGAAATGGAAATTTCTAAAATTTCTTCATAACACAGAAAGTTTAAATTTATGGGGTTTTTTATAACAATGCTTAATAGCGACAATGGTTTCTTGACCTTTTTACTTTATTCTACAGGTTTTTAGTTAAAATCTTTAGATAAAGCAGTTACATTTACTGTCAGCAAAACGCACCTTCTTGCTCCTTGGGTATGGATGAAATAACAGCCAAATTTTAAGCACCAAAGAACATTTTCTAGAGTTACCATATCTTATGAAAAATGAGAGAAATATTCAGATATGTGAATATTTCTCAGAATATCAAATGACCACATTGGTATTTAAACTACAGAAAGCTACCACTGAAAGCAATGTGTTTGTATTTTGAAATTTAGCTTAAAACATGAAATGATTACAGTAGCTATTCCCTCCCCACACTTTTTTTCTTTTAAATAACCCACACAAGTCAATATTGCACTTACGGAAAGTCAGGTGGATCAAAAGCAGTCTTAATAACTCCAGCATATATGGCAATGATGGAAAGAATCACACAGGCAAGGAAGACCAGTGCAAGCTTGTTGACATACTTTACTCCCACAAAAACTACTATGGCCATCAGAATGACAATGCACGTTCCATAGACTCTCATGTTGTTCAGCATAGCCTCTGTTTCTTCACCAGCATCTGTCACTTTAAATATAGCAGCACTTGGAGAAATATAGGTCTGCAAGAGATATGGTGAGCTATCATACATGTAATAATGAACATTTTATTAAATCATTTACTTGAACTATAAAATCTAACCTTCTATACCAGTTTTGCTTTCACAAATGAGTTTAGCCATATAATTTGGGCATCGAGAAACTCTAGAGATAAAGGAAGGAAAAGGGTGAGGGTAAAGAAAAACAAGGATTAAGAGTAGGATACAACTTTTGCTCCAGCTTCTTATCTCCTATTAAAGATCTTCCACTCCTCTAATTCATGTGTCTGCCAAATGGGGAAAACAGCTAAGGTATTTGGTGGTGGAAGGAAGTAGACCATGACAAAAATAAAAGAAAAAACCCACACCATAAACACGACTTCCATTGATTGAAACAACATATGAAGAAACAAACAAAAGTATAATAAACTAAAAATTTTTCAGTATTATAGACCCTATATAATACTTCATAAAATTTTAATCTAAAGTTGCAAGAGCACAATTTACAATTATTGTGAAGAAGTTTAGTCATGTGCTAAACCAGACATTTCCAACTACTGCAATTTCAAACAAGATTCTCTCACAGATCTCTCTTTCTTAAATTTTGGTGTGCTCTACCTGAAAAGAAGTTGAAAACTGTTAATAGCATTTATACTGACAAATGTGTGTGAGAAGACAAACTGATCTAGTTCTAAGACATTCGTGTACTACACTACACAACAATATCTATATGCCTTCTTCTAGCACCCCTAAAAACACCCCTCTCTGTTCAGCTACCAGGGCTTGAATATTAGGGCTTGAGGCAACTCCAGTCCTTCAAAAAAACTGCTCAAATGACTATTTTTCAATAATATAATTTCTAAAGGCAGGAAGAAACTTTGAACAGGAGACTGACGTGATGCATTCATAAGCAAAATCCAAAAATAGACATAGACAATCACGTACCATAATTTTCCTTAATTAAATTTAAGTTTAGTAAATTACTATTTACTAGAATGCTGGAAGATATGAAAATTGTCACATCATCATAGAAGAAAAAGGAAGCAAACTAAAAAAAATTATTACAGATAAAGTATATATTGTTAAAAAACCCTACACTGTGACATTGCAGAAGTGTCAGGCTCTCTATGGAGGTACTCCAGAAGATTTTCTTGTGGATTTGTTGCCCTGCTGTTCAAAGCCTTACCAGGGAAAACCATAGGCAGATGACCGATTTCTGTTTCTCCAAATAATCCATGCCCCAATGAAAGAAAAAGCAATACTCATGCCTTGTGGCTATGTCAGGGGTCTATTCTGAGGTCTTTGACAGATATCCTGGGCAGCATTTTACTTCAAATTCTGTCGCTAGATCTTGTACATTTTTATTAGCAACACAAACCCAGCATGACCCTCTAATAGGGAGAAGAGTGCACCAAATTCAATCCACAATTGAACATGTGCTTGTGTTACTGCTATAGATCAGACAACAAGCCAGATCAGATCACACAAGCAAGCATTTGTGACTACTGTCTCTAATTTTAATGTAAAAAAACCCTGGATTTGATTACACAGATCATAGTAAGTAACAAGAAAGAATTCTTAAGTATCTTCTGTGCATATATTTAGTTTCTGATTTGATGACCAATTATTGGCACCTCCTGGATGAACAAAGACATAGTAGTCAGGCCACTGCCACACAGGCAGAATTCCACAGCATCTTTGCAAATATATGAAAATTCAAAGCCAGTAGTTCGGAAATGAGGAAGTGTGATAGATTATTATTGCCTCATCACAGATATGCCCTTCATGTTCTCCACAACTTTTCATTAAGCAGCAGTGAGTACCCTACTAATGCTTTCCACCTATTATTTGGAAAGAGAATATTTCTGCTTGGTTCACAAATTGTATAAAATAAACATACATCAAATAGCATTTAATTTATTTTTGTATTACTGATAAGAATTTAACTTCCTGAAATAATCATGAGTAAGAATAAATATCAACATCCTAAAATGCAGTATCAAAACATTAACGATCACCAAACCAGAATGCATTTTAGACCATTAAGAAAATTCATCAGCAATATTCTGAAACAGCCCAAATACATTTAGTCTTAATAAAGACTAGTACTTACCAATAAAATTTCAATGGTACCAAGAATGTACATTGCTCCTGCAAAAGTTGTACCCAAGTAGAAACAAAGTCCCACTGCTCCACCAAACTCTGGCCCTAAAGATCTTGAAATCATGTAGTAAGAGCCTCCAGCTGTGAATTTAACAAAACAAAACAAAACCAAAAAACACCAAAGAAATACACAAAACAAACAAACAAAACACTTCCAGTATTTCAGATAAGGGATGGCAGTAGAGAGCAAAAATTTGAATCATTCAGTCAACATAATCAAGATAACCACTGCATGTTCCTCCACTGACATACTCATGACTAGACTGTAACCAATGTCTACACCATCTAGATAGTTAGTATGCACATTTCAAGATTAATATCCCCATATGCATTGTCTGTGCAATAGAAAGCAAAGACCGAAGAAAGAAGAGGAAAAATTCCACAACTTAACAGAAGTAAATTAGAAAAGGATATACAGGTATAAATAGATATGAATGAACTTTTAGCTTCTAACCTTAAGCTATTCCCCATCAAACAATACAATTTCCAAAATAATTGCTTTATGAGACAAGGACAAAACAGATTCTTTTCTACTGATTCTTTCTATTTTCTGTATACTAAACCATTGCCACTTTCACTACAGTTCACAGTTTTTTAGTACTGTTTAAAGGTGTTGGGAAGGGATTGCTTTTTTTTGTCCACATATAAAAAATTCACTTTTAGCCCGAGTTCTTCAATTCTTCTCACTCTTACTTCCTATATGTATGCATCATCTTTCTTTAAGTCATAAACTACACCACCACCATCCTATTTCCATTGCACTATTTGCCTTTTAATAAGGCTCTAAATTTCAAGCTCATCTCTTTCTTTTAGAATGTCAACCAACTACCTCAAGGCAAACTCTTCTCTCTGGTTCCCTCTCCATCTACTCTTAAATTAATGATTTTTGTCCTGCTTGTGGGAAGAAAGAGACAGAGGAAAGATGTGTGCAATTTTAAATAACATTTATCAATGTGAAGAGTCTAAAGCTGTTTTTCATAGAATCACTGAATTTGGAAAAGGCCTCCAAGATCATTAAGTCCTATCATTGATCCAACACTGCTGAGTCCACCACTACACCCTGTCCCTAAGCACTACACCTCCTTGTTTTTTGAACACTTCCAAGGATGGTGATTCCACCATTCACCTGGGCTGTCTGTTCGACAGACTTCAGTGTTTTCAATCTGAATGAATGAGAAACAAAGAAAGATATTATGATGCATCACCAATCCTTTTACTAAATATAATGAATGCTCTTGCATATAAAAGCGAAATAAAGGTCTCCTTCAGTCCTGGGTTCTTATCTGTGCTTCCTGCCTTCTCCATATTCAGGACAAGCATCATTTCTCTAAGAAACTCGCACCAACAACAAAAAAAGTGAAAATTAAGACCTGTCTCATGTAAGAACTGCAGGCTTCAAAGTCTGTGAGAGATGTTAAACAAAACCATTAAAATGAACTTTAAAAATATGAGAATAGAGCAGAACATTTTAGTTATCTGCGCACTGATTTGAATAACTCAATTTTATTATAAAACATGAGTATTTTAAACAAAATTGTCTATTGATTTTTTATTTCATATATGGTACTGGATCCATGAAATACAATTATAATACAGTTACTCTACATCCTTCACAAGTTATAGCTTTTACTATTATTATAGCCCAACAACTTCAGTTTAAGTTTAGAGTTCATACCAATATCTGAGTTCTATCAATTATTGTGCTGAGAAACTAAAAAGGGTAAGAGCTTCAAGAGCTAATTGATTTTGCAACTAAAAAAAAAAATCTTTTACTTTATGAAGCCGAATCAATTTATCAATCTATCCTGAAAATTTGAGATGGGCAGAACCTAGAGTGTTTATGCAGAAAAATATTTTTGCCATGAGACCAGTTACTGTTCTTGCAGAAAACAAGACAACTAACTCCAGGGTTTAGCTGGAATGTAGGAAAATTCAGGAGAGAGAAAAGTAGTACCCTTATTTGTAAAGAAATTTGCTTTGTGTGAAGACCAGTCTCCATTAATTCAATTTATAACATCTTATCTTTGATTAAAATAGGATCAAATGACTGATGACAAAGATGTGCTGCAGATTGTAATTCCCAGAAGACCCAGTCTTAAAGACTGTATCTCACATTAAAAAGTTATTTATAAAATCAATTAAAAGAAAAAATGCATTTGATACAAAAACATTACTTCTGATATTTGAGAATGATAAGAATTTCTTATCCCAGATTTAAACTTCCATTATTTAAGAATTTGCCATGTAAGATAAAATTCTTCATTACCTGGAACTACGCCATTTGTTGCTATAGCACTCATTGAAATTGCAGTTAGCATAGTCTGTGGAAAGATGAAATAGAAGAAATTTAAAATACCAGAGTTTTGGAGGGTTTTTTTTTAAAGATTAGGCAAAACAGTAATCAAATGTAACTAGACTTTTTTTCACCCCAAGATGTTTAATTTGAGATATTCATGCAACTCAAGTACTCAACTTTTCAGGCAGAAGATTTAGTTAACTTACACTTGACATAGTCTTTAAAGAACTGGAAGAATATAGACTATTGCATATACTTAAAATAGTATGTTCATTATTTCAATTTAAAAAGTAGTGAAAACTAATTGTAACATTATTATGACAACATCTAGTAAAGACCTCATATTCTAAAAAATTACTTTATAGATGCAATGCTGCGGAATTTGATTTGTAGTTTATTATTCAGTTTGTTCTGAAGTTGAAAAAAACAGAACACTTCAGATCTCTAAGTTAATAATGAAATATTTGCTAAAGGCTGATTTAATAAAACTCATATAAAACTTTAAAAAAAAGCTTACTTTGATCAACTCAATAGAATGTCCGTACGGGTTAGACTGACACGTGACACCCACTGCTTGTATATATAACCCATTTCTCTCAATTTAACCATACTGGTTAAATACCAGTACAATTTTATCAGTATGATTAAATGTGGTTATTTTTTCCCTGATACTCATATATTAGAAGGTGTCCGTACTCTTTCAACAGAGGATTTGGACAGGAGTTTAAAAAAGAAATAAAATAAGGTTAACTTACACAAGCACAACACATGAACACAATGATGAAAGACTCAAGAACTCCAGCTGTTCCTACAATCCATGTTAAACGCAGGAAAAGGATAACTCCCAAGATGTTTTGCAAACAGGGAAGATATACGCCAATAAAGGTGCCCATTCGTGGACCCTGGAAACAAAACGAGAACATCAATTTAATTCCTTTGCACTACAAAATTTAAATCTATAAACACTTTATTCCACAAACACTTATCACAAATGGTCCATGAACAAATGCCAAGTGAAAATGAATGGTAGCTTCGGAGTGTCCAGCTTTGCAAATATTCATGTGCTATTAATAAAGAAAAATTCCTGAAAAGAGAGAAAACTATTTGTGATAACAAACTCTCTTGTTCCACAGGAATTAGGACGACACCTTGACAGGGACAGGATGGCCCTTTATCTGTTGATCATAACACTTTACAAACTTTTTCTGAAATACCAGTTACAGGCTAAAGTTACAGGTTAAAGATAAATTACTGCCATAATCAAAATATCATTTATATTCTGCAAAATGTTGATCACAAATTGCCACAAAGCTGGCACAAAAAATTATATTTAATAGTAATTTTAATTTTAAAAAAAGACAGACAATGTATAAAGACAGAGTGTGAAGTAATGCAGAGCTGACTACAACTTCTTTTTTCAAAAACTGCAAAATCTGTCACAACATAGTATATGTGTACTTTTTATTTGCTAGTGATCATCATAGGTCAAGACATACACAAAAGCATTCAGGTTTCATCACTAAAGTTTCAGTCGTCTACACTTATGAAGAGAAAACGGGCTTTGAAATAATCTAGTTAAAATCAACAGTTATACACAGTAGCTTTCCAGTTACACAAGATAGTCTTAAATCACAACTTGGGCTGTGAAAAATGGCAATTGATTTAAGTTATCAAAATTATTAAGAAAACACTAAATTTCCAAGTATTTATAGGAAACCATAGAATGCCATTTAGACTGCATTTTTTATTTTTAGCATCTTGGGCAATATCCATGCGCAGCATCAGCTCCACTGTCTCAATCACACCATTAAAATGCTACTCTGACAGGCTACTACTTAACTATCACAATTTCAGAAATGAAATTAAGACACATACATAAAAATTGTGTTATCAGGACACCACATGGAGCACAAACAAGATCAAGTGCAAGCAAAGACATGATGTTCATTTGTTCATAGTCAGTTTCCAGAGGGAGTAATATGGTGCTGCATTGACAAAAACCTCTACACAGCAGCTGAACAGACAAAGGGGTTCACAGTAAGGAAAGTGTGAGATGATCAGTGTTACTTTTCTCACATCTGAAGTTTATCTTCAAATGAGATGAAACAAATATAGATCAAGCACAACTATACAAACAGAAAGAAAGCACACCCATGAACAAATGCAGAATAAGGAAAAAGTTAAACAAACAGCTGGACTTTATCTCTGACCCTTGCCCACTGTCCTGGTACCAACTTCCACTCAAAGCTCTATTCCAATCAAATGAGCTGCTGTTCTGAGCTTATTTTCAAATGTATTTTTATCTCTGTCTTTTCTGCTCTGTGCTCATTTTCCTTTTTCTCATTCTCATGTACTTCTCTTCATAGCTCAGCATATAAATTCAGTAGCAGGACCCCTTCTCCTACACAAAGACAGGTGACTACCAGCACTGTCTCTTCCCAGCATCTGCCTTTATTTTCTTAGTTTCAGTCACCATGCTCACCATGCAGCTGATCATTCTTCCCTTGCCTATATGTTCTTATACTCTGTCAGGTCACATGCTTTATTCCAAGCTTTCTCCTTCAAAATCAGCCTCTGCTAACAGGGATCAATCCAACATGCCACTGCAGACTCCAACTATTGCATACATTACACTTCTACAGACACAGATACACATTTTGGGTATCCAGTAGACAGACAAGCCTTGATGAATTCAGCTCACTTCTAGCAAGTGTGTTTAGCAATGTGTCACACAGAGCATATGATTTCCCCTCCCCCAAGTACAATACTTTTGATGTTTGTGACAAAGTGTTTTCTTGGAATGCATCCATTAAGTTTTAAAAATACTTACTCCAACACACAAAACTAAGACAGCTACTCAAAAAACTACTACCATGTTAAGAGGTGCAAATATGCTTATAGAATTAAAAGACTGACCTGTTTAATCTCAAATTTGCCTTAACATAACTACCTAAAAACCTAGGCAGTTAAAATATATTGATAAATCTGCAAAAAGTCCTACTGTATGCTCATTACAGGTAGGTAACAGGTACTGATGCTTGCACAAGTTCACAAGGAAGAAGAAAAGAAAGGAAGAAAAAACTGGGTATACTCCATGTTTCAGATCCTAGCTTTGCACATGTTTTACCTACGGGTTTTACAGCACAGTTTTGCTAAAACATGCTAACAAGAACATCAAATTAACACAAGTCCTACAAAAATGCTTCCGTTCTAAACATGGTATTACAAACCTCACTCCCATTTTTAGGTGCCCACATATTCTCTTTTCCGGTTGAAAAATACACCTCTTATAGCTAGCTTTATCTCGATAAATTATTAGAAATCTAAATACCTTCACTTCCTTTCGTTTGCTGTCTTCATCTGCTTCATGTTCCACCACTCCTTGAGTCAGATTAGTGTAGTTTGCTAGTTTATTCAGAAGAGATGACACCATGGGGTTACTATCCATTTCTTCCTGTTGGGTTTTGAAGAAAACTGCATTTATTAAATAAATTTTCTTTTTAAGTCATCATTTCAGATACTGCTTCAAATATACTCAACAGGTCAGCCCTGATTCAGCCAAATAAAAAAATTAGCATGACAGAATACCAGTCAGCTTTCAACCAACAAGAAGGCTCTATTATTTCTAGAAGTTTAACTCTACATGGCTATGTTGCACCATTTCTTTAATATTTTTACACTACCTTACAGCTCGAATATAAGGAAAACCTAGAGAAATTCCACTGTAATTTTAAAAATCTATTTTCATCACAGCACAGTCTTTAGTGTATTGTGCTGGTAAAGTTGGGTCATTTGAGTTTTTCCAGCACATGAGTTTTTCCAGCACCTTGCTTGTGTTTAGAAGTGACTTCAAATGATTTTTCAAGCACTAAAGTACTTAAGTACCTCTCTGAAGTCTAGTGCTGCAGGCTTACATATTTTCTTACACCAGGCATACTACTTCCAAAGTGTTAACTTGTTGAAAATACCTACAAATCTATTACATATAATTGCACATATGTAACAGCACCTGACACAGAAGTCAGCCCATCTTTCTTTACTGCTACAAAACAAAAGCATGCTAAAATATATCATACAATCCAGAAGAATACACAACATTAGAATTCCAAGAAAAATGGATCCAGGAGAATTCAATTAAATACAAAATCTTGAACATTGGAAAGAAGACAAGAGAACAGGGTGACAAACACAGACAACAAGTAAAGTATGGGAGATTAGGTAATGATAATGGTCATAATAGTCAAACTTCTTTTTAACAGTTTATACAACTCTCACATCTGAAAACACAAGAAAAACAAGATTATAGGAAACTTACTCTGAAACATACATAGTAGCAAAAAATTTCACCACAACACCAGCAGTGATGCAGTCACTAGAAGGGTTTCAATGCGATACCGTTAACAGCAATATCTATAACTTGAGATACGTAAAAATAATGGTTTTATGTCAGTTGATTTAATGTGAGCCATGTTTCAAAATAACAGATTCGGGACAAAAAGCAGCTGTGGCCAAATTATCATCACTGAGGAATACAGCAACTAATTTGAACCACATAAAGTTTTGGAAATGGCTTTATGGAATAGAGCTTGAAGGAGAAAAATTCAATGACAGAACTTTAATACCATCATTCCTGTCAAAAAATACTAAGCTATTGCATACATGACAAAAAGACAATTAATGATCAACATTAGTTTGATCCTTAGCAAAATTTGCTCTAGAACAGTGAAAAATAGTAAATATACATTATTTGGGTCATGCACAGGTGAGACAAAAAGCCATGTCCTCTGTACAAAGATATTTGAAAGGAAGAAGAGAAAAATGTAAGAGAACAACAAGAAAAAATTGAGAAGAATGCAACAGTAAGGTGGCTAAACACTGTTGGAAGCACCTTGTTTTTGTTAACAGCAAGCATCAGAGCAAGACTAGTTGATGCTGCTAGAGCACAGCAATTAAGGTTTTTACTAGAAATACTATTTAATTGCAAAAGTGGCCCTTAAAAGTACTCAATTAATACACTTTTTTCAGTAATTTGATTGTAATAATTCAGTTGGTTAAAAAGGTATGAAATGTCCATTAATAAAGTAGATATTTACATTAGAAATTGCTATGGTGTGCTCTACATTGTAGTTGGATAATACAACTAAGTCATGGCTTGCAAATTTGTTTTTTAGCTTTGCTTTGTAACAAAAATTCCCCTGTTGAACAAATTATTTTGCTAATCCTCTTAAAACTGAATATTGCTTTCTTTAAAAAATACATTTGACTTCCAGTAGCTTTATCTAACAATGTCAAGATCCTAGCCCAAAAATTTAAATGCACGAAGACTTATTTCATATCTTCACATTAATGCACACCAATATTTACTGTTCTTGCCTATATACTATTCAAATACACTGAAATGGAATGTTAGCAGGAACCAAACTATGAAAAAGTTATTAAAACTCATTTGCCCTGCCACTAAATTTTAAGACAGAAAGTAAACAGGTGATTGCTTATCTCCATTAAAGGTAAAATATGTTTTTGGAGTATTTAACTTACCTCAAAGAGAGCCATATTCTTTCCTTCATACATGCTTCCTCTGCCCAATTCTGCACAGTTAATAAATGGACTACTTTCCCTGGAAATCCCATCTCCTAGAGGAAAAGTAACACAATTAAAACAAGAGGGAAAAAACCCCCTTTTTTACTTTAAAAGGAATACTTTAAAAGGAATAGTCAGAAGACTCTGGTAAGAGCTGGTTCTAAATAAGACCATAGGTTGCTGCAAACCTAGTTTTCATCTCAGACATGTGGATGCTAAACATTTAAGGAGATTTAGTTTAGCAGTCGAATCTTGGTATAGTGTTTCATCATTATTACTCTTTAACACACATAATGATTTCTCCCCTACCTTTTCTAGTTTCCCTAAAAACACTTGATAACTGCACTACATATAAAGGTTTTGAATATAGAATAAAATAACCTTTTTATTACTTTACTGACTCCCTCAAAAAATCTCCAGTAGTTGAGATAGGAATTTATGAAATGCAAAAGGAATTACTTTGTAAATGTTGTGTGGAACCTTCCATGACATGTTACACTTAGTCTATTCCTTATTGAAATAGAAATTGCATTAACCTGTAGCTCTACTGACCTGCTCTGGCACACCTCTCAAAAAATACAGCATTACTTTCACTGCCTTTCAGCCGACAAACTACAAAAACTATGACATGCTGATACTGTCACAACCCTGGCATTTCCAAATAATCTCAAGTCCTTGCCTGCACCACTTTGCCTGTGTGCCCTTTTGCCCTTATATGCACAGATGACAGCAATAGCACCTACAGTCTCTCCACTACAGAATTAAGGAACAGTTAGAGAACAGGCTGTACTCTTTTCCCCTGTCTTCTTCCTCTGCTCCCTACATGAAATCCCAGAAGAAAGCTCTGGCAAATGTGTACACTAGTCTTAGCACAACATATTATCTTGGTTGTAAACCAGACAGAAATATATCTCAGTCCCTCAAATACAAGAGGGACTGTGGATTTCCCACCACTAATTTCCTACCACTCTCCACAGTATCACTATAGTTATTGGTATCATGACATAGAAACCACATACTATCATAAGAGACACAGAATATAACAACTGCCCTAAAAATAAGGGCTTTAAAATTAGTTCCTCAGTCCAGAGAAGAAATGGCAATGAATTCACACATCCAATATATTTCCTTCTATCCACATCCTCCAACTTTCATTTTTCTGTTTCTCTACATTATATATTTGGTCTCCTACTACTTCAAGTCCTACAGCCTGGTTAGGCACCCCTCTACCAACCAAGGTTAATGCAAGGTCAGCAGAAGGAACACTGTCAACACAAAAGAATCTCCCTTGTGAACTAACACCTTGAGATGTTTCACAGTATATGGAACATGCTGGTTTCACACAAAATTATCTGAGAAATTGGCATTTATGGGTTCCACTTTAATGGGCTCCACTGTACTTAAGAGAAAGATTCAATTAGCTTTTTCACAGACAACAAAAGAGCAACTCTGCCCTGAAACAAATACATCCTGATTTCTCTTACCATTTTGCTAAAGCATATGAGCACTCGGATTTCTTGCTTAAGACACTGCATTTTCTTTCCAAGATTTTTGCAATGTTTTTCTTTTAGCTCCATTCCTGAAATAACCCCATTATTTCTGCTGAAGTTTTTATAAGCCATTCATTAATAGGTATGTTCCCAAGTTAAAATAAAAATAAGGTTGCTTGATTTCAGTCTTGCCAAGACCATACTTCTATTGACTTTCTCACTAACTGACATCTGGTATCTGTAATCATTAACTAAATATTGGTACTCCTTTCAGGGTACTTCCAATCTCTTCAGAAAGGATTACTCTTCAAAAAGTGAGCTGGGAAAGTTCAATTATTGTTTTGCCTTCATATAGATGATAATGTCACTGGAGTTACTCTTTCAGTGGGTATCATTAGACTAATCTAAACACTAAAAGGGTAGCAAAAAAAAAAAAAAGGTAATCAGTATTCATAATTCTGAAGTTGAAGACTAGAGTTTTGGCTAACCAGTTCTGGACATTAAAATCAGTATCTCACCACTACATAGTATTTTACATTGTAGATTGGAGAATTGTGAAGCTGTCCTTTATATGTTTCTTTTTCTAAACAGGGTTACTTGGCTTTACTCCAATACAAAAAAGAGCACAGCATCTCTAACAAAGGTCTTGTTAAACACACCTGACAGGCTTCAAACAGGAAAATGCAGAACTTAGGACCTGAAGAACAGGAAACCTATTTCAGGGCTTACAACCAATATTTTAAAGTTTTCTGATGATAGCCTTCAAAATAGTCTGGTAGCGACAGACTGCAAGAAACTTCTGTTTCTCTAACACAGTTTTCTTTTTGTATTTGTGTATGTTTGGCACAGCAATTTGATAGGCAATGCTATGTCAAATCATATCATGTCAAATATTATTTTAGCTTCACTTGAAAGAGAATCAACACTGAAAAAGTGACCAAAAAAGCAAACTGACAAGTACTCTGTCATCTGCAGTTTGTTGACTACTTCTACAATTATAAAATCATTAGGACCATAGAATCATAAAAGCATTAAGATTGGAAAAGAGCCCTAAGATAAGGTCCAAACTTTGAACACTACCATGTCATCTTAATACAGCACTAAGTGCAACATGCAGTCATTTCTTGAACAGCCCCAAGAATGGTGGCTCTACCACCTCCCTGGGCAATCCATTCCAATGTTTAAGCACCTTTTCAGTAAAAAAATTCTTCGTCATGTTCAACCTGAGCCTACCCTGGTGCAGTCTGAATCCATTTCCTCTAGCCATATTGCCAGTTGCCTAGGAGAAGAGGCCAACCCCTATACTCTACTACAAGTCCTTCCAGGTAGTTACAGAGGGTGATAAGGTACCTCCAGGGCTTCCTTTTCTTCAGGCTGAATGACCCCAGCTCCCTCAGCCACTTGTTATCAGACTTGTGTTCCAGACCTTTTCATTGCCCTTCTCTGGACACACTTGGCAATTCAATATCTCTCTTGAAGAAATACGCCCAAAACTGGACACAAAACTCAAGGTGTGGCCTTAACTGTGCCAAGTACAGGGCAACAATCACTTCTCTAGTCCTGCGGGCCATGGTACTTTCAATAGAGGCCAGGATGCCATTGGCCTTCCTGTCCACTTGGGCACACCACTGGCGCATATTCAATCAGCTGTTGACCTGCACTCTGCGGTCCTATTTTGATGAGCCACTTTCAAGCCACTCTTCTCCCAGCCTTCAAAGTTGCATGGGGTTGTTGTGCATGACCTGGCACTTTGCCTTACTGAACCTCATACATGTACCACAGTGGCTAACCTCCAGTTGTCCGGAACCTCCCCAGTTTATCAGGACTAACAATAATAATAGAGAGTGGCTTGGCAATCTCTTCTGTCAGGTCCCCAAGTACACTCTAGTGAGTTCCACCCAGCCCCATACACTTCTGAGTGTCTAAGTGGCTCAATGGATCACTGACTACTTTTTCCAGATTATAGGGGGTCAGTTCTGCTCCCCATCTCTCTCTACCAGCTCCAAGGGCTGGTCACCATGAGGATAACTGGTCTTTCTGTTGAAGACTGAGGCAAAAAAGGCACCTCAGATTGCCTCATCCTTTGTTACAATGTTACCCTTCATATCCAAGAAAGGATAGATTTTCCTTGGTCTTCTTTTTGTTAATATATTCATAAAAACACCTATGAACACCTTTGAGTTTTAATCACTGCTGTCAACAAAATCACCTTTATTTCAAATTAAAAACCACCACCTTCTGAAGTATCCTTATTTAATATGTCTAGATATACAGTGAATCTTATTAACATGTAAGTCAAACTGACATGTATTATACCATTCAGCAGAAAGAATTAGTTTCAGAATCTCAATGCACAGACATCATCTGTGGTGAAAATAACCAAACAAACTATCTCAATCTTTAGCTTATTCTTTCTTCAAAAGAAGATTCAATAGGAAAGAAATGATTAATTAGAAAACCAGATTTAAATTAAGACAGGATTAACACTTTTCACAAATCCAGTAAATCTTGCCCCTCATGCATCAAGTGGACAATAGAAAAAGCTATTTCAGTTACTTCTACTGAGGTTACATGGAACACGAAAGGAATAAAAACTTCATTTCACTAGTAAGTCTAGCCATCTCTGTTTATCTCAGCCCTATCCTCTTGAACTCTATGAGGAAGCTTTAAGATAGTCAAATCACAGAATCATGTAGGTTGGAAAAGCACCTTGACACCAACCACACATTTAACACTGCCAAATTCATCACTATACAATATCCCTAAGCACCACACCTACACATATTTAAAATACCAGGAGGGATGGTGGCTCAGCCACGTCCTTGGCCAGCCCATTCCAATGCTTGACAAGCAAATCACCTTTTCATTAGGTCTTTTTGAAATTGTGTCTGTTTTAACACTTCTCAAGTGTGAGCTGAGTGAAACATAAAATAAAACATAGAACTTCCAATGTAGTTTCAGACATATCATTAAACTGCATTTCTTCTGAAATCCAGTTTCTGCAACCGAAGCATTCCAAAAATCAATACTTTCTGTTGCTTGATTTCTGAAAGTAACTCAGTTTATGAGGGTTTACAGGCAAAAATCTTAAATCTAGACTAGCATTTCATTTTGGACCACAAAAAAGGCAAAACAGAATAACCAAAAAAAACCCTTTGGGTTTGTTTATGGTATGTTTCATGTGTCTTCTGACACAGAAAAAATTTGCCTGTTGATATCATACTCCATGTCACTCAACTAAGTCATCAAAGCCTAAGTTTTAAAAATTATGTTTCTATCCTTGTACCTTCTTAAAAAATTATTATTACAATTTTTAATCGGATATGGAATGTTCTTATAAACTAACACAATTCTGTGCTTACTGCTGGAGCAGTAGACAACCTAAAGCCATGACTAATTGCTATAGATAGATAATGAGATGATTGGCTCTTACAATTAAAAGATGAACATTTTGTGAAAATTAAGAGAAGCTTTATTAATGTATAATTATGTTAATGTAGTTTAGATGTCCTCTGTTCTCCCCATAGTTCCATTTTCCTCCCACTCTGTATTGTTGCCATCAG